GTAAAAATTTCAGCTCATTTGGACTTCTAGAACTCCAGATATGGCCAAAATACCGAATAGTGCTCGGGCTGGAAGACAGATTCGGGCTTCTTTGTTGTTGCTACAATTTGGACTTGATAATGGCCTTTTTAGATCTTGGGCTCCATATGAAAGTTGTAGGCCTATGTCTTACCTTTCCATCCATATAAATTGGACCTAAATCTGAGATATATAGCTCCAGATATGACCCATTTACCGAACAGTGTTCCGGTTTGGATTGCACCGACATCTCTTTTCTAAGTTTGGCCATCTCTTTATCCTTGCAATTTAAGTTCTTCAAGTCATCAATCAATCCTTTCATTTATGTGATAGGCCTGCATTAAAAATAGACATTTACCATAAATTAAAGGTATCTTATGTTATTAGATATATTATTATAAAACATGCTTTGGTTAAGGAGTTATTGATACTTCAAGTGCAAAATGATGATATAAAACCATGATAAAAATGCACTTTTAAGTACTAATCATCTATCTTATACAAAGCAGAAAGTTCTTCATCCATAGCTTGCTGCCAAAGCGAATCAAGAATTGCCTTTTTATAGGAAGAGGGCTTAAAGCGACAATGAATAGAAGCTAAAAAGAAAATAAATGATGAACAATAATAAGAATAAGCAAAATTTGGTAATTTTGTGGACTTACGAATACAGATGGACTAACGTGAAGGTGGATCCACAATCTCAGATGAAGTTTGAGGGGCTGTAGATGAGAATAGAGCTTCAGGTATGCTCGAGAGTAAAGTACCAATATCTGCAAAGTTATGAGTACAAATTAATCAAATATGAGGAAAGGTATCATTACTGGAATCCTCAGAAAAAGAATCTATACGAATAAGATCAGATTTAGTCAGGCTATGAGTAGTGGATGGAATAGAAAAGAAAAGTATATGCTTAAGGAAGACAACATGATGAGACACATAAAGTTTTTGAGTTATTGGATCAAAACAACGATACTCATTTTTACATTTACCATAACCCAGAAAAACACAAATAGTGGATTGAGATGATAGCTTACTATGTTCTACATGAGGACAAAGGACGAAGAACAAAACAAGTACAACCAAGACTTTAAATGAGGAATAATCAGGGATATACCCATATAACTTTTCAAAAGGAGATAGACCCGAACTATGAGAAGATGAAATTATATTAATCAAACTTACAACAGTAAAAATAGCTTCTCCCTAAAACTCACTAGGAACAAAATCAGACAACAAGAAAGAACGAGTAGTTTCAACAATATGCCTATGTTTTCTTTCAGCAATACCATTTTGCTTAAGAGTATCTGTACATAAAGTTTAGTAGATGGTTCCATCTAAGGCAAGTAATTAGCAAAATTTATTAGAGGTGTATTCCCCACCTAAATCACACCTAAAGCATTTGATTACAGTGGAATGTTGAGTTTTGATAAGAGCTCGAACAGCAGAATGTATCTCAAAGAATTCGGGACAATGTTTTATTAAATAAACCTAACAATAATGAGTATGATCATTAATAAATGAGACATAATATCGAGACCCTCTTTTTATGGCAACAAGAAAAGGTCCTCATACATTAGAATAAATCAAATCAAATGGTGAAGATGAAACAAAAATACTTTAATTAAAAGGTAAAACGAAAAATTTTGCCAGTTTACATCTACTACAATTAGAAATGTCACAACTTTTCAAATTTCCTGAAGCTCGTATGGATGTTAAAAATCTTAAATGAGAAAACAAAATATGACCTAAACGGGAATACCATAAAAAAAATAGAAAATGAAAGACTCAAACGAAAGGAAGACAAATCAACAGTAGTAGTAGCAGTGGCAGCAACAGCAACAACTGACACTTTTAACTCATCCAAAATATATAGTGCAACAACAACTGGCACTTTTAACTCATCCAAAATATATAGTTCATTCTTCATACAATCTGTCCCAATCAGCTTTTGAGACTACAAATTCTATACACAACAAAAAAACCCAGAAAACATGATTAAATAATCACCAAAATCACATATTTGGCCAACAAATGCAAGATTCAAGTTGAGTTTTGGAATAAGATAACCATCAGGGAGAGACAAGTGAGGTGTGACAACAAAACCAACACCTGTTAAGGGCATAGAAGTGTCATCAACAGTCATAATAGAAATGGAGGATAGAGGGGACATAAAGGAAAAAGATGAGGAATCTAAAGATATATAATGGGAAGCACCAGAATCCAAAACTCTTTCGGAATGTGACATACCTGAGGAACTATGAGGCAATTGATATATAGAAGAAAAAACAGACATTGCTTGTGGTTGTAAGGAGAGAAACTTCTAGAATTGCTTAGCCAAAGTATTAGGATCAGTAATAAAGCCTGGTAAGCTACCGCTGCAGTATTGTGATGTGGTGGTTTATAAACCTGAGGTGGTCTATGAGCATTAGATTGTAACTGATCGCCAGATTTCCAAACTTGATTCTACTGTCTCAACTTAGGACACTGAGCCTTCCAATGACTTTTCTGCTTATAGAAACTGCACTCATCGAAGTCAACCCTTATATAAGGCTTGTTCTGATGATTAGAGAATGGCTTAAAAGATACTGCTAATACAGAAGAATTTGAAGCAAAAAGAATTCTCTTTTCAGAATAAGACTGAAAACTTATTTCTTCAACCAAAAACTCACTAACAATAGAGTCAACAGAAGACAGTGGAGAACGATGCAGAATTGAACCTCTAAGTCCTTCGAAATTACTGTGAAGTGCTATTAAAAACTATAACAATCATTGATGCTCTCTACGTTCAATATAAGCACCACATGCTTTTAATTCTGCCGATTTTATAAGAGCCAATTAATTTCAAAGATCTGTCATGGTAGAATAAAACTCTTAAATACTTATATTTTTCTGGTAAAGAGTTCGTATGTCATTCTCTAACTAATACTATTTTGTAAAATTTGATTATGTGAATAACCATTACAGATGATCTTAAACCTCCTTTATTGTCTCATATTTTGCCAACTGTGTACCTATAAAATGCTTAACAGAATTGTTGATCTAAGTAATGATCTTTGCATTGTTTGCTTTCCATGCATCTATCGAAGCAGTATCTCCTTCATCAGTATTCTTAGGTACCACATAAGTTCCATTGACATATCCCCATATCTTCTTACCCTTAAGAAAATTTCTCATTACATAACTCCAATACGAATAGTTCTTCCCATCCAACCTCACTCACAGACTAAAGTGAATCATCTCTTTCAGTAGCCATAATCAACGATCACAGAGAACCAATCAACAATCACAGAGAACCAGAATGCAAAACCAACGGAAAATCAAAATACCAAATTGCAGAAAATAAATAGAGATTACAGAACTAACAAATATCTTCTCAAAATTATATGATTACTTCAAAACACAAAATAAATTTACACAAAATAAATTTATAGAAATTGAGCGCAAATACCAAATTGCAAAAGCTGAAGGGAATATGAAATACCAAAATAATTACAGAAACTGACGAAATACCAAATTTTGCAGAAGCGGAAAATAAAATCTCACTCCAAAAAAATTATGAGATTAAGTCTGTGCTTGAAATTAAGTCTTATTCCATAAAATCAGCTCTGATATCATATTAAAATAATTAAGATCAAACACAAAAGGGAGGCTAGAATTCTGAATAATTTATATATTATGAGTGCTTAGCCTTAACTTAAATATAAATAAAGTATATATAGGTTAAACTGAAAGTATTATTCTATCCTTAATAAAAAAGACTACATAAATATTATTTAACTCTTTTGATCTGCACTTGAAAATCATGATTTTATCAGCAAAAACGTGACAAGAGCAACTTTTGACTACTTGAGATTATCAAACATCAAATTAACACATGACAAGCTATTCTAATTTTTAGTCAGTAATATGTCAAAGCCGAGGAGTTTATAATTTGGATTTGTATTCAACAAAACAGGGCATTGTTCAGTGTGGTCTCTTCCTTTAAATGGTTTGTTTGTGGTGTTCTCATGTCTTGGTACTACTTATTAAGTTTTATAGTTCAAATTTTGATTAATGCTTCTTAACTCTTCTTTCCCTTCTTAACTATAAAAAAAAAACCTTACAAATTCATCAAGAAAAAGATATATAGAAAGCTAACTCGAGAAAAGCATATGGCAAGAGCAAAATAATTAAGACAAATTTAGCTCTCAAACAACAGACTATCAATATGACTTTGTAATTATAATCATTTGGCATTATATTACGAATAATAAAAATAAAACTTATTATAAATAGAAGTTTTGTTCGTATCTTTTAATTTTTTAATTTTTCCAATTTAGTAGAATCATAATTAGAATTGAATTCTATTTTTAAATTCATAAATAAAATAGAGAAAAAAATAAAACAAAATGAAATGAAAAATATTAGATACTATGGATTCAGATAATTAACTATATATTATTGGATTTGAATTAATGATTCATGGTCGCGTAAAAATAATATCCAAATCATTAAATTAAATATGTTATTTACCATAAAAAAAAATGAAAGAAATGAAACTCATTTCTTAAGAGTGTTTATTTTTTGTGTTTATATTTTTGAAATTTTTCTAATTTTTTTGTTTTAAATTGAAATTTTTTGATAATTTTGATAATTTTAATATATTAATATTAAAAATAAATAAATAAATAAAATTATATTATTTTAATATATTTTCAAAAAAAAAAACACAATTAAAAAAACAACTTTCTTCTACATCTCAATCATTACCTATGGAGGTGATGCTTTACTTACATTCAACTGGGCTACCATGGTGAACAAAATGTTGCCTGTATGTAATTCATTTAAGGGACTAGAGGGAGAAACAATAAAGAAAAAAGTTCAAGAAAATGAAAAAAAAAAAAAAAAAAAAAGGGGGATAAGAATGCAAACAGAGAGATAATATTGACGGTCATAGAGGATAGCAGTATTAATGGACTTGCATAAAATAAAATAAAGAAAGTGCAGGACGTTGATCGTACGCAAAATTGATGAGATAAGAGAAAATTCTAGAAGCAAAAGTATTTCTCTCTCTTAAGCCAGGCCTCTAATAATTTACAAAGCAACCATCTTTCTCTTCCTCACCTGTCTTTAGATTCCAAAAGTCTTCTCTTGGTTTTGTGCTCCTCTCTCTATATCCTTTGTGTGTGCTTATAGATCTGCTCTTTTCCTCATCTGGGTTGTTTTTCTTTGGCTGTTTTGGTTGCTCTTCAGCGACTCAGTCCAGATTTGATTTTTGGGTTCTGATTCGATGGCTTCCAAACGCATCTTGAAAGAGCTCAAGGACTTGCAGAAAGATCCGCCTACGTCTTGCAGTGCTGGTATGGTTCCTGTTCTTTTCGTCAACTTGATAAAAATCTCATCTTTAAAACTGTTTTTCCCTCTATTGTTACGTTATTTAGTTATGCTGACCCTCTTGCTCTTGAGAGCTGATTTTGTATCATTTGTGGAATTAGTGGTGTAAAAGTTTCCATCGTTCTGGCTTTGTAACTTGATTTTTGACTTGTAAATGGTTGGAATTTTAGGTCCAGTAGCTGAGGACATGTTCCATTGGCAAGCGACTATTATGGGACCTGCTGATAGCCCATATGCAGGAGGTGTCTTTTTAGTTTCTATTCATTTCCCTCCTGATTATCCTTTCAAGCCCCCCAAGGTGATCATTTTCTCTGTACTTTTTTTTTTCGTGTGCGCGCGCAAAGTTCCCTTGAGACCAAAGTATTTACTACATCAAGTTTTTTGGTCTCCTTGTTAGAAAGAGAAGGAAAGAGAAATATGATTCTGCCATACCTTATTTGAACTTCACAAAACTATTGATTGCTGATATTTGTATAAAGGTTGAAATTTGCTCCAGCATAGATGTAGGTTTTGAATAAGTAAAATGAAAGGTATTTATGGAAATGATATTGTGAAGTTCTGGTCAGTGCTTGTTATGAGCATTAATGTCTGATAACTCTACATGCTTTCTATGTGCAAAGCAATGACTGTCAAGTTTTTTTGTTTACTTGTAATATAGAAAAGGAGCTACCAATTTGAGTAAGATCAGAGGGCAGCACAGAAGTAAGAATGACTTTCTAGATAGTTTTTATAATCTTGCATGTTATAGCCAGGATTTATTTTATCATGCTAAAGTTCAAGCCTAAACGAGCTATATAGTTGGAGAACAGCTCATGTTATAGCCAAGATTGTGTGAAATAGAGTTGCTATCAAATATCAATGTCGTAAGGCTTAAATATCATCTTTATGTGCTTTGATGATAGATTTAGGGCTGCACTATTTTTGGAATTTGAATCAATTTAGGCATTTAGATAAGCAGAAAGTGTTGTGCTTTAATGTTCTAGATTTGGTGGCTTATAGTTATGGATTGAATACTTTTGTCTGATGATACATTGGATTACGGTGTTAAATCCTCTAGAATAGAAGCACCACAATTCACAAAAAGTTTGATCAAAGCATAATAAAATATAAGAGATATCTTGTTGCCAATCCCATTTAGTTTGGGCCATGGACTTGCTAGCCTTGATTTGTAAACTGAGTTCGATTTTTCAGTATCTTGTGTTTTTTTCTTTCTTAACTAAACAAATTGATTTGACTCTTGATTATTTACATCAGGTTGCCTTCAGGACAAAAGTCTTCCACCCAAACATTAACAGCAATGGAAGCATATGTCTGGATATTCTTAAAGAGCAGTGGAGCCCTGCACTAACCATTTCCAAGGTTTGATATGACCATTTCTCTTTTGCCTTATTATCCATGTAGGCTTTTGTTGATGCTGAAACACATACTCATCTGATAACTTGATTTGGTGTTCTATGCATATACATCAAATGCTTAGAATCACAACTGAGACTTGAAACCAAAATGATGTGTTCGCTATGATATTGTTATCCATTAAAAATGACCTTTCAGCATTTTTTTATTGAAACAACGTAAATAACATGAAGAATTACCACAAATGTTAGTTTAAACACAGCTTGTACCTAGTTCGGGATTTAATGTTGATAGCAGTTATGCATTGAACAGTCTTTTAAGGTCCTGAAGGTCTCACATCTATGCAAGAGTATGTGCTACCAATAGGAAGGAACTTATGGTGACCCTGGGTCCTGAATAGAAAAGAGAATGACAGTAACCATTAATGATAAGGTCTTGGAAGGCCTGCTAGTAATATTCTTATATGTGTCAATGAATGTAATAAATAATGTCTTGAACTGTGTATGAACACGTTTAATTGCCTATCTGTGCCTTTTATTCGATGTCCATTTACCTCTTGGTGATTAGGGAGAATACCATGGTGCTCTGCTAATAAAAAGTTTCACACAATTGGAATCAGGAAAAAGAGGAAATGTAGAAGGGTCACAGTTTCTGATTACATTAGCCCTAATTATATTGCTTTGTGAATTAGGCCTTCACAGAATTGAGATTTAGACTTTTGTATATTGTGTTTGATAGCTGTTTCTCTAACACTTACTGGTGTGAGCTTGTTATTTGATTGATGTGGATATGGTGGTCTTTTATTCCCCTACTTTTCTGAATAGGTATTTCTTCTGACCCTGTTTGGCCTTCCTGAAACCAAAGTGAAGAAAAATTACAAGACTTTGGTAACAAAAATGGGCTCCTTGTAAGAAGATGATGTGAGAGAAAAATTGATTGGAAAGAAAATATTTCTTCAACAATTGTTTCTCTGATGCTACTTGATTTTGGTGAAAAAATGAATAATGTAACCCATTCCTGGACACGGTTGGGCATCTGGCGCATTCCAAACAACACTTGTTGAGGTGTTTTTGGAATAGTAGGATGAAGTTGTGCATTTTATTCATTCATGCAGAACAGTCTAGAATATTTGTATTTGTGTGAAGTGTTTAACAGCAGCTTTGTTTTTCAATCCAGGTGCTGCTATCTATATGCTCTCTGTTGACCGACCCAAATCCCGATGATCCTCTTGTGCCTGAAATCGCTCACATGTACAAGACTGACAGGGCAAAGTATGAGGCCACTGCCCGTAGCTGGACGCAGAAGTATGCGATGGGTTGATGCAATGATGCAGAAGAATCTATTTAGCAAGTTTTAAAGATTTCGTTATCCAATGGTTCACATATTGTTAGGTGAAAGGATGGAGGTATTCGAACTTCAAATTGTCTTTTTCTTTCTGGCTTTTAAATGCAGAGATTTGGGAAGAAACTGGTCTGCTAGTCTGTGAATATCTATTTGAAGGCATTAAAGGGGGGGTTGCATGTAATGTAATGCTGCTGTTGTTGTTAGAACTGGTAGCTTGTTTCTTTGCATTCCATGCTCGTATTTGAATGCTAAAAGTGTTAATCCTGATATACTTTGCCGAAGATTAGCATTCTCGATTCATGATGCTAAAGACACAAGTACAGGCAAGGTTTACCAATCTAACCTTCTTGGCACCTTAAAGCTTTGATGTCTTACGAACCAATGATTGGCCCATTTTTAGAACAAGCCCTAGTTCTTCCTTGTTTTAATGATTTTCCTTGCTGAAGTATGTATTTTAACATGAAAAATATCGAGACCATCTAAAGGTGTCCTAAAACCAAGCAAACCCTTGCTGCTTTCTTCACTCGCGTATTTCAGCAACTCGAGTGTTTCCTGACATGGCTCCTTAACACCTCTACTAGTTGGGGGGTTGATGACGGTGAAGGACAAGCACAATGGATACGTAGTGGGATTAGACTAGTATATCTAAGGTGGCGCTGGAGCGACGAGCACATCTAATTATTTGATTGGGAAAAAGAAATGGAAAACGTGATTAAGATGGGCGATCCAGAGTAGGATTAAAGCCTCACATAAACCCGTCATGTCGTTGTGACAGCCATAAGGTGGCAAGCATATCCATCATAACAGGCGTTGAATACTGTTCTTGACTTAACAATTTAATGACATAAATTTGTGAGGTGCATGTTTTTATTACCTGTAAAAGGCAGGTCATGAAATAATGGAATCCCCCAAGAATCATTTGGTAATATTGTTGGAAACCTGAGATGTATTGTTTAAGAGGAAAGAAACTTAAAGCATCATCTTATTACTTAGTTAAGAAGCAAAGAGGGCCTCAGCGAGAGCTCCAATGCATAATATTATGAGTGCTCCAGACATGCAAGTTGTCTGCCTGGGGTTGAGCCCATCACCCTTTGCTTCCTCTCCAAGCGAAAGGAAGCCTACCAGACCTCACTACCATTAATCTTCAACGCCCTTCGTTTTATATAATTATATAAGCTGATAACGACGTAATCATCACTTTTATATATATGTAGTTGATTGTATCATTAATTTATTTCTTGCCGATATATATCTTCCTTGTTTTATAATTTGAGACATGGTTCCGAAAGGGATCGATGTCAATAAAAATGAAGCATCAGAGATTTGGTACTGTCTGCAGTGAAGAGGGATTGAAGAGAATCCCATGATTGAATTTCATAGTCAAGAACCATGTTGGAGCTTCTCGTTGCAATCAATTGCAAACAAGTAGAGCTGCTGCCTTCAAAGGGTTGACTCCAGTGTTAGCTAGACCGTAATCTTATAGATGTATGGTCTGTATATTAGAACATGAGTTAGGGAGACTGAGTCAGTGGATTTGGTTAACGTTACTTCAAATCAAATGATTATGATGGAGAAAGGATTTAGCTGCGTTCAGTTTCATTGTAGATATTTATAGCAAAAAAAAAAAAAAAAAAAACAAGAAGGAGGAAAGAGCGAGCAAAAATCTTCTTGTATTGTTTGTAGCCGTTCTTAAATTAATTTTGGTGCATGTCATATCGATATCTACTGTTTCAGAGTCCAAACTAATGTGTATTTCGTAGCAATATACACGCACTTGTCTTGAACTAATTCCTTTTTTTGTCGCCGGCCAAGATATTTAATAATTTTATTATAGAATATTGAGACCTTATATATAAAAAAATAAAGAAGAAAAAAGAAAATAAACAGCAGGAGCACAGCACTAGGGTTGCAACTGGTCAGTATTAGTTTATTGACCACACTCTTACTGTGGCTTGAATCATTTTTATTTTTTTAATGTAATAAACAATATTTAGATTATTATAAACTTTCCAGGTTCTTTGTATATAATAATTTGAACTGTGAGAATTTCAACCTGACTATTTGCTTAGCTTTAAATTAAATAGTGTAGAGTTTATCTCTCCTTACCTTATTTATTTGTTAAGTTCAAAGAAAAAAATCAGATACTATTTCGTAGAGATTATCTCTCGTGACCTTATTTATTTGGCAGGTTCAAAGAAAAAAAATTAAATTAATAATCAGATACTATTTCCTTAGCCTGAATTTTAAATTAAATTGTGTAGAGATTATCTCCCGTGACCTTATTTATTTGACAGGTTCAAAGAAAAAAAATTAAATTAATATTAAATGATAAAATTAAATAAAAATCACATATTAAAAAATAAAATGATAAAAAAACTAAAACACATGTTAAAAAATAAAATGATAAAAAAACTAAAATAAATAATTAAAAAATCATATTAAATAATGAAATTCGATCCAAAAACACCATTAAACAAAAAAAAGGGCCAAAACAACTTTTATTATATGATAAAGAAAATACAAATTAATTTACCATCAAACTAGTATAGAGAAATAAAATTAAATAAAAAATAACAAATTATAACCCCCGACAAACTCAATGTTGAAGGATGAAATTGATTAAAATTAATTATAAAATAGGATCTAAAAAAAAAAAGTCAACTTGGGTTAATCTTTCAAACTCATGACCCAAGTTCTAAAATCAAAATTACCCTCTAAAAGGCAAATCCAAAATAATCATAAAGTCAAAAAATTATGAGCAACAAAAAATTGAGGAACTAAATTAAAAAGGAAAGTTTTAATATGACATGATTTTTTTTAAAAAAAACAAGTACCAATCAAAAGAATAAGGATCAAATTTGACATAAAAATAAAATGAAATTAAACATTGAGGGATGAGATTGAAAAAAATCAATTAATAAAATGACTAAAAATAAAATAAATAGCAATCAAAAGAATGGAGACCAAATCTAATAAATGAAAAAAATCGAAGGTTGATGAAATTGAAAATAAAATTAATTTTTTAAATTATTTCAAATAAAATTAATTTTAATAAAAAAATAAAAATCAAAAGTAAATAAATACACAAGTTGAAATGTTGCTTTGAAAATTTAAAGGGTCATGCACAGAGATTGAGGAGGTGAAAGAAAAGAAAAAACACCATTGGTGCTAAATTGGAAATTCATTGACCACACATATCATCAAAGATAATGGGTGTTAAGACGATTTAAATATCATAGTGAAAAGTTGACATTTAGTTATTGAGCGATGCTACATATGTCCTTTGAAGAGCGTGAGTATAGCCCATGTTTTTCAGCATACAACACACATACTAATTACTTTTTATTTTTGAATAATATTTTTATTTATTAAAATACTAAATTATTCATTAGCTATCTCGATTATTTTTTAAAAAAATACAAAAAAAAATCTGGATACCAATTAAAGAAATTTTAGTTTGAAGGGTAATTTAATTGAAATAACCCCTAGTTATCAAATTATTTTTTTTTTGTTTTAAAATATAAATTGATTGTTTTACTATGCAAAAACATATTATGTGAAAAATATAAAATTATCATTTTATTATTTTAATTCACACCGCAAATGAGTCTAGAGCTAAAAATATTTATTGCTATAGTAATTCCTCTTACCCTTCTTGTTTCTTTTAAATATTTATATTATGATATATGGGACAAATATAGAAATGATATAAATATATTGGTTAAAGAAAAATAGAGCTATAATATAAATTTATTTATGGGACAATCTTAAAATAAATTTTTGTAATTGGAGAACCATGTCTTTTCCCATAGAATAATCAATTCTTAATTGCTTATGAGCTCGGCCCTAGCCATGGGGCAGTTCGAGTATGGAATATTAGTATCAAAGGGTTAATTAATTAATAGGGTGGTTGTGATTTTCTTCATGATTAAAATTGGGACGCATGCATTTATTTATAATGATACCATCCCTCCTTAGACTTTATGAATCCCTTTTTCCTTTACATAAATTGTAATTGATTAATATAAGAAAATGTCGGTCCATTTATGATGATGAGCCATATACCCTTCAAATCCCAGAAGCTCATTAAAAAGGGGTGTGTGTGTGTGTGTGTGTGTGTGTGTGTGTGTGTGTGTGTGTGTGTGTGTGTGTGTGTGTGTGTGTGTGTGTGTGTGTGTGTGTGTGTGTGTGTGTGTGAGAGAGAGAGAGAGAGAGAGAGAGGGGAAAAGGCAAAGCAAAGCAGGAAGCAAGTGAGTGATCATAATTACTCGACCTCGGTGTGAAATGTTGAGTTCTGCAGATGGGATTGGTCGTTGTGGTGGGTTCGTGTTAAATTACTGTAGTTTGAATCTGGTGAAGTAGCTAGCTACCTAACCCTGCTGCTGTCTATCATGTCCTCCGTTAGCTACACAATTATCATTGCCATGGTTGCATCTGGTCTGCTTCTGCTGTGCTACGTACGAGTCTGTGGCCCGTCAATTGCTCTCTAACTGGATAGACGAAGTCTTGGTTAATTTATTTTGTTTAGGGCTTCACAATGATATGACAATCCTTCACACATCACCTTCAAATTCATCGCTTAATTTGCTGCGTTTGAAGATTCATCATTGCACTAGAGTATTTATGAAAATTACCTTGTAGGGTAACTAAAGAAATCAAGTTAAAAAGATTTTATTAGAAGTGGATATTTTTTCCAACATTTTAAAAATATTTAATTCGACTCTGACTCTTGGCATAGGCGGGCTAGTATCTCCTTACTATATAATATTTAGCCGATTAGAGTGTACCAGTGACCAGGTAGCTAAACCTAGTACCTTAACATGAATCTTCTAAATTTAAGGTATCCTCAGGAAACATTTGATAGGCATTCTATCCTGGGGGTGTTATTCCGTAGTTGGCATTTAAAATGTGATGTAAATTATTAATTTTTTATATAGTGAAATCATTTTGACATGATGATTTTAAAAATAGTTTTTTTAAAATAATAATAAAATATTTTAATATATTTTTAAATAAAAACTATAAGATTAAACAGCAGTCACTGCTCTAATCTCAAGCAATGATAACTTCCAACTTCTCTATCAAAGTCTTTAATTGCAATATTTTCCATAAAACTGAGACCTAGCTAGTCCATTCTTGCAAGAGCGAAACTGCACACACCCGTACGCATCCCTTGTCGCCAATACAGTAATTTCCTCCGGTTTCCCTTCTTTAGAATCATGAATAGTTCTGCACATTTCTCTCTTAATGTGAGATGGTTTATTAGGATATGTTTGTTACTGTGCGGTTTGAAAAGGTCAATTAACAAAGAAAAACCTATAAATTACAGTTTTCTTTAAAAAAAAATGAATTTTTCAGTAAAATATATATAAAAACTGTGCTGAGTTAATAGATTAAACATCTTAAATTTATGATCGGGATAAGATTGCAACGACAAACCGAGCCCTTGCTTCATCAGTTGTGCTGTAGACTTCAATTCCCTTGAATGCAAAGGAGGGATGGGTCACCTTCTCCCATGAATTTAGAGCTACCATAAATAAAGCAACACCCAGCAAGCTAGCAACTAGCTAACACTCCATCCGGCCTTCCACACAGTATGGGAAAAGTCAGGTCGTGTTTGTTTTTTGAAAAATTATTTTTAAAATATTTTTATATTTATTTATTTCACACAGTATGGAAAAAGTCAGGTCGTGTTTGTTTTTTAAAAAATTATTTTTAAAATATTTTTGTATTTATTTATTATTAAAAAAATTAGTCAACAGAAAATATTTTTCGGTCAATAATAAATACTTTCCAGTCAACAAAAAATACTTTTTAGTTAACGAAAAATATTTTTCAATCAAAGAAGAATTTAACTTGGTTTTCAGAAAAGTGTTTTCCTTTCTAATTGTGTTTGTTTTCTGAAAAGTAGTTTCTGAAAAAACACTTTCCAAACTTTCTTGTGTTTATTTACTGTTATGAAAGTTGGTAAACGGAAAACACTTTCCAGTTAAAAAAAATTGGCTTGATTTTCAGGAAAGTGTTTTCCTGAAAAATTTGGGAGGAAAACACTTTCTGGAAGTTGTGAAAAATTTAAAAATATCAGTATTTACTGATTATATCAAATTTAATCCTCAAACTTTATTTTTATTATTTTGATTATTATTTATTTTATTTGAGAAAATTTATGAAATTATTTTTTTTCAATTTCATTATTATTTAACTTTTTAATTTGTAAGATTTATTTCTTATTATTTAAATAAACTTGAAAAAAATAAAATATTAAAAAATTATTTTTCAGTTCATTTTTAATAACATAACCAAACACCGGAAAGTATTTTCCAGTTTATTTTTTATAACACTACCAAATATTAAAAAATACTTTAATTTTCAAGAATTTATTTTTTCTAAAATTTATTTATTTTTAATTTAATTTCTTTTAAAAATAACTTTCTTAAAATAGGGTCTCTGGATTCGGAACTTCATATATAAATAAGAGAAGAATTGAATAAGAGCTTGGGATCAAGGGGTTTGTTTTTTTTGTGGTCTCAGGTTCGAGTTCTTGGTTACTTATATAATGACCACTGAAGGTTTATAGGTCGTTAACTTTAGGACCCGTAAGATTAGTCATGATGCGCGCACGCTGACCCGAATAAACACATTAATTTAAAAAAAATTAAATAAAATGAATCATCATGGTAAAAACAGAAAAGAGAGTGACGTGGGTCGGGCTGGTTCAAAGAAATTGACATGCAAGATATAATCCTCTTTACACGTCAACATACAGCTGGAGGCAGCATAAGGCTACTGCCCCATTGCCACTAGTAGTGGACGTGCTACTGTGCTTAGCTCCCGTTTCCAATATGACATGACCCCTTTCCCCACCTCCCACGACAAAAACAGAAGACACTGCCCCATTGCCACCAGCTTCCCCTAGGCCAGGTGCCCCCTCCGTGAACTATATATACCCCCGCGCTCCCCCGCCTCTTTCCTGCTCCACTTCATTTCCTTGCTTCTCTCATTGCATAAATTCTCTCTCACCTCTCCTCGCTCCCTCACACCCTGAGAGGGTGAAGAACGCTGAACTCGCAGCAAGACGTTATTCTTTTCTCGTTTCCCACTAAAAGCTTCACACCCTTTTCGCCGTTCCAGGCTAGCCAACTTCTTCGTGAAATCCAGAAGTTGCTGCTCCACAAAGCTAGCTCTAGCTTAACCTTCCCTCTTTCGTTACTGTGTTTATAATTACACCTTCCAACTCTCCAGATCCAATTAATTAAGTGGCTTCCTTCACTCTTCTTCAGTTTTTTTGTTCATCTTTCACTTCATTCATAAGCCAAACAAACCTAACTAGCTAGACCAGCTTGAGCTGGTCAATACACGGTTTTGGCTGTATGTCTTCACTCACTTCTTGATCACAAACCCAACCCTTGCTACCACTCTTTCATCTTCTATCCCCCACTACATCATAACCCATGCTGATCTCCAACCCCAACACCATGTCCGTACAATCAAAAGTCAAATTTACTGAAGACGTATTCGCCACTAAGAAGCTCATCAAGAACCACCACCACCACCAGCAGCAGGCGCATCCTTCTTCAAGGATCCGCGGCCAAAGACTTGTTAGAATCATCTATACCGACCCTGATGCCACTGATTCCTCCAGCGACGAAGGAGAAGAACAAGAACAGGGGAGGAGGTTTGTCAGGAGAGTGAATAGACAAGTGAGCGAGATAAGATTGCTAGAGCAGGAGACAACAGCACCAGGAGCTCCTTCTTCGAGAACTTCAAATGATGATCATCGAGACCCAACAAGAAAGAGACCTTCTTCAAGACTACCGGTATCCGATGTCCCTCGCCGGAAAAAATTCAGGGGTGTCCGTCAGAGACCCTGGGGAAAGTGGGCTGCCGAGATCCGTGATCCGACCCAAGGGAAACGGGTCTGGCTTGGCACTTTCAACACTGCAGAGGAAGCTGCTACTGTCTATGACAGAGCTGCAGTGGATCTAAAAGGTCCTGACGCCGTCACCAACTTTCCTACTCAATCCTTTTTGACGGTGAAAGCTAACGTCGACGGTCCAAGTGAGGTCCAGTGCGAGTCATGTGACTCACCGTCTAGCAGTGGTGTTAACGCCATGCCATCACCCACGTCAGTCCTCCATTACGAGGAGGTGACGCCGTTCGACCCTGTTTTGACCGAGAAGGCTAAGGTCATCGACGATCACCGCGAGTCATGCGAGTCACCGTTAAGGTTATCGATGACTTCACCAACGTCTGTTCTTCGATACGAGGAGTTAACGCCGTTTGATAGCTTGGCTTACGGTGACGTTGACGCTTTTGGGTTTAAAATTGACGTGCCGTTCGGCCTGCCGGATTTAATGTTGCCGGGGAAATTCGTTGACAAGGAAGAATTCGTTGACCTTGACGATTTCTTGGTGGAGGCCATTTGTTAAGAAAAATGTCTTCAAGCGTGTGGTAAAATAATCAATTTTGTGAAAGGTTTAGGGAGTGTATTGTCATTGACACTACCCAAGCACGACGTGGCATGTTACGATTAGTGTTTGAAGGCGTTAAGAGGATAGAAAGGCGCCTAATATGGATCGGAATACCCAAAGTGCCCCCGTGTTTGATGTTAGGCGTCTGGTTTGATTAGTCAAACTACGGAGTGTAATTGTAAAGTGGAGTATTAATTAATCCATATTTAGCAAATTATATGGAGATTTTGTCCCTTGTTGGTATTAGTAAGGATTTTTGTGTACTCGATTAGTATTATTCTTAATTTCTATACAGCACAAGATGTATTAGACTTATGTTTAAATATTTATTCCATATAAAAAAAAAGAAGCAAGATTTGAGTCTTAATAAATACTGCGTGGCATGAGATTTATTAGGCTTGTTGAATTGGATAATTTAATTTGGATTCTATTATAAGAGAGTTGATTTAGATTCTATAAAGTGACCGGCTCCTTTGTTTGTATTTTAGATGTGCTCTTTTCTTTTTCTTTTTTTTCTTTTTGGAAATGAGAATAATGGTTGGATTACTTGCATGCCACGCCAAGCGTTGAAGACAAGGGAGATTTTTATTAAATTATTGTAATTATAATATCTAAAGCCATGGTTTAAACTGTACTTAAATACAAAGAAAGAATTACGGGTCCATTAATTGTTTTATGCTTTGAGTGAATCTTCTTCTCCCTTATGTTTCGACAACTTTTGCGATTAACTTTTAAGAGGATAGTTTTAAAATAAATCATAATTTTTTATGATTAAAATTTTAATAGAGAATTTTTATTGAGATTCGTATAAAACTGCAATATTTATTCATTAATTATATGTTCTTCATTTATAATTAAAGTAAAACACAGTTTCAATACTAAATTGTTACAATTTCAAACAGATCCCAGCATGGCAGTGATTTTTTAAGTAATATTTTAATAAATAAATTAGCACGATTTCAAGAATATTAATTCATGGAGAGGATGGAGTAAAGCTTGATGCCAGGGCATGCATAAGTAAATTGTTACAATTTCAAACGGATCCCAGCATGGCAGTGATTCTTAAGTAATATTTTCATAAATAAATAAATTAGCATGATTTCAAGAATATTAATTCATAGAGAGGATTGAGTAAAGCTTGATGCCAGGGCATGCATAATATCGGACACGTTTTTGAAGGTGGGAGCCGCCAAATGTCTGAAACAAAAAAAAATGAAATCGTCACTTGATGAGGTGGTGGGTTTTTGTCGGATTTTATGGCTCCATCAGGATTTTATTAGTCTCCAAGTTGCTTGCTTTGCCTCGCCTCGCTTGTCCTGCTTATCCTATCCCTAGCTAAAGATGATGCCGCCGGGGAGCCTGAAAAAGAAAGCTACATTAATATCTCTATATCTGCGGTCTTTTCTTGATGGGGAACAGGCACGAGTTTGGGGCAACCAGTTGTTTATTTTTATCTCTTTAGTTGCATTATTTTGCCTTCACAAAAAACTCATAAAATAAAATCTCCCACGTATGTAATTATGTTTTTGAACCTACACATACGAGGGCTTAAACACATAAATGCACACCACCTTCTTTAATTTAATACCATGCTAATGAATTGTGGATTCATTTTATGTAAGTCCTTTGTTTTTGTTTATTGTTTTTAAAAAATAGTTTTTCCATATTATTTCATTTATTTTATGAGTAAAATATTTAAAAAACATAAATAGTTTTCAAAAACAACAAAAGGTGATTTTCTATTTTATGTGTTTGGTTTGTTATATAAAAGATGTTATATTGCTGAATTGAATTATCGCAACTACACCACTGTCCTCTCACTATAATATTATAATAACAACCAATACCATTTTCAAAATACCTCAATCCATCACCAATGTTATGATTATTGCAGCCATAGTTTTTATCATCACTGGTTCAAAATCAACTAATGTTACGATGGTATTTTATTATCACCACCTTCATATTTAACATTTGCAAATATATTTAAAATCTTTACCATCTCCATTCTGTTGTGGTCATTTATATTATATTAACATCACTTACTATAATTATCATCAATTACTAATAAAATAACAATCATTATTAATTTTGTGTTAATTTCATTTTTAAAAAATCTAAATACACATCAACAAATAGGAATCGCAAATAATATATCAAATCAAAATTAATATGCATGACCAAAACACCAAGGTGGGGGAGCTTCATGTAATCACCTCTCCCCCACGAGGTGTCCATTTTTGATCCACTGATCCCCAAATCGTGCCCCTAGAATGCATGCAGTAATTTGGGGATCCCATAGTCAACATTTTACAGCAAATGTTATACCAAGTCATAGTAGCAAGACCTAGAGAAAAGGTTAATGGTGGGGGCCGAAACCCCACCACAAGACGGTGGCTAGTGGCCCATAATGATAAAGGGTCCACATATCTCAACCACGATTCAGTATAGACCACATATTGCTATTGGATTCTAGCTTGAAAATGTGGCATCACTAGCTGCTCCACCGTCTACCGGCGGCTGCAAATAAATTTCAACTAATTTCAAAGTAAATGAGACGGAGAGAAAAGTCAAGAATGGAGTCTCAGATACAATTGAGGAAATGAAAAATCGTAGTGGAGATTTTGTAGGTCCTATGGTTGGTGACCAAACGGATTCGAAAGCAATAAAAAGCGACTCCATAGATATATGGCCATGATCACCACCTTATAAACCATTGCCGCCTTCCACTAGCTTCTTCTTTTCTTTTTCTTTTTTTTTTAATATAACTTTTCATATTTTAAATGTTATGTTCAATAAGTTATTTTGGATTAGCTTACACGTTAATAAATACCAATATTTAATAAAATAGATTTTTTTAAAACTGTTGGTTTTAAAATTCAAACTCATGAAATCAAAGGAAAAAGGCAAATTTCTAAGAACTCTTCATGTATTCATATATTATTTTTGTATGATGGATAAGAATATTTTTTGACGAATTTACATATCAATTAAAACCAAATATTGATAAAAAAAAATTTCATATCTTATACTTGTAATATTATTATAGGAACGGGTTTTTTTTTCATATTTTATACTTGTAATATTATTATAGGAACGGGGTCCATTGTAAGAGCATATAGTATTAGGTGGACCTTAATATATAATCTTTAATTAGTATATAATTAAAGAGGCAGTGAGAAGAGGCCACACACCACTACTCGTCCAATAATTTTGTTGGCGTGGGTACAAGTTGCAAAAACTGATCTACTAGCACACATGCATTTCCTTGGGAGCTCTCTCTTCGAAACGGATAGTATATAGAATATTTATAAAGTTTTGGAATCATATTTCTATAGTTATTTTGGCGTTTCCTGTAGAGATTTCATTGGAGACGACGGATGATTATAAGTGGATCTTTGATCTCTGGTCATGTTAGGATATTCTTCACTTCATCCTCTGATCATCATGCATGATCAGATTCCTTCATGATACCTTCAACAACAATCAGTGTGTGTGTGTTACAGTAAATGTTTGCAGCGTGCATCAAGCCTTTATATGGCTTTTATCATAGATAATTATTGCTCATGTAATAAAGTTGGAAGATTATTTTGCAAAAAGTTTCCTGGTTAGCAAAAACTGAAGGTTAAGAACATTAATCAGATATAGTTTTGTTCCCGCTAGCTAGAAGGAGATTTGCGACGAACAAATTATACGAATAACTTAGAATTATGGATTAAAGGTAATAGGTTTAAGAGGAGTCTTGATCGTGTTACTATAAATGTTGATCCAATTATTAAATTAGATTTAGAATTATCCAGAAATTAAATTCTTGATGCCCAGTTTAACAAAGAGATGAGCCTGCTTTTGTCCTCCATTCGGAAGATGCCCTAAACTAGGCTTTGAAAATGCTCTTTAGCCATTTTTGTTGTTTTTCCTTGATGTTTTTGGATTTTTTGTTATTTTTCATTTTGTTTATGTATTCTAATTTTATTATTTAGCATAGATCTATTTCTAAGTATAAAACCTTTCAAAAAAATATCATATTAGATTATTATTTCATAAATAAAAATATGAATTAGAGTGCTTGTGTCATGATTTTATTTTCAACTAAAACTCTATTTTTTTATTCTTGTTGCTATTTTTTTATATCTTTTTAGATATTAAACAGGTTTAAATTACTGTACAATTTAGTGACTCACTAATTTGAAACCTCACTTCAGGAGGTTTTATATTGAAAAACAAGGTAAGAATTGATGCAATCGAATCGATTTGATTAATATTTAAGTAGATAAATAATTTAACTTTTAATATTTTTTTATAATAACATAGTTTCAATTTTATTTATTAATTTAAAATAATAATAATATAATTTTAAATTAACCAAGCTAACCAATATAAGTAATAAGCATACCTAGTATTGTAAGTTGCAACCTTGCCATTAATATCAATTCCATGTATCCACCTCGTGTAGAGTTACTTTTTATAACAAGCAAGACTTTAGTTCTTATAAAAATGATCAATCACATCAAGAAATCTCAGCTTGCCACATATGTGACATGTGTCGTCAGATATTTCATTCCGTTTTCGCTTGTTTATTTTTCTTTTGGAACCTCAGGTTGTGTGTTCCAAAATTAAAAACATTCATCATATCCTCTTCACTTGACACGTAACCCCTCCACTATCTCTCAGGAGAGCAGCTCCATGGCTCCATCAATTCATCTCCCATGGTTGTATCGAAGAATTTTAAATACAAGCACGTGTTTTGGCTATGGTGGGCATCTGTGCTTATCAGCAAGGCTTAGCTTTCTGTTATTTTAACGGTAATTCTTTTATAGCTGCATGCCACACCACCCAGTGACAATCAAGGAGACACTTATTTTAACGGTAATTCTTTTATAGCTGCGTAGATATTTTGAAAAAATTATCATTAAACATGCTGTGATGCCACTTTAAACGATTTCTTTTATATCATATATGTTTAATGATGTTTATTCAATTATAGATGCTGCAACTTTATGGATCCTTCACGGTTTGGATATTTTTTTTAAAAAATAATAACAATTTTCAGATTATAAAAATTTATTTGGTATTTTTTTTAAATTTAACATAACATGTTAACTTTAAAATTTTTTGACCAAATTTTTTATTTAACCCATGTTTAAAATTAAAAAGTATAACAATTATTTTTATCTGATACAGTTAACTTGACTACTTCATCGGACTAGTAAAAAAATATTAAGTATAAAATTAAGAAAACATAATGA